TTTTTTTTTTTTTTTTTTTTGGTAGTTTCACACTTCCTTTGATAGAGACATTCCTTTCCTTGTGGGCTCATCTCTTTTTTTCCACCATTATTTTTCACTTCAAAATTTCAAATCATGTTTCTAGTAATTATTCCTAAAACAAAAACCAAAATAAATAATGCTCATACCTAAGTCTCCTAAACAAAATGAAAAGCCAATTTTGGATAGTAATTTCATTATCTACTCAAGTTTTGAGTTAAACTTAACGAAGTTAAAAAATAAAAAAAATAAAAAAAAAAAGATAAAAATTGACTCACAAACAGGGTAATTAATTTATTGAAACTAGATATAGTATGGGCTATTTTAACAATGGTTTTAATTTTTGGCTGCTGTTGGAAATATACTTTTAATAGTTAGCATCTTATCCAATAATTATTGGAAATATGACACTGACTTAAAAGCCAAAGTGAATTATTTTGCAAGGACTTCCTTGCAAAAGGAAAATATTCCAATTGTAAGGGGAATATATGTGTGTTCTGTCTACAAGTAAAGACTCTCCCCCTATGTCTGCTAATGGGCCGGCAAAAGTGGATTTGGGCTCTCCAGTGGATTGCTATGGGGCTGAGGAATAGACCATACGATTGTGGACCTACTTTCATTATGGGCCTAGTAACAGCCCGTGTTATCAATTGTTGTCCGCTAAATTATAAAAAGTACCATATGTTATAAAAATAGTTTTTTTTTTCCTCTTCTATATGCATTTACTAATAATAATCGAGATCAGTGTAAGAAAGTTATATTCTATATCAACCCCTATATTCATGCGATTATATGTTTACTTCTGACTGGAACAAGAAAATCACAAAGCTCTATAGTGTCTCGAGAGATGTACCTGATTGTGTTGTTAATTTTAGTTATCTGCAGCTGCTGAGAACTCTAACATTTGATAGTTTCATCTCGTCCCCTCTGCTAGCTACATATGATGAAATCACATAGATTCAGGTGAAGGAAAGTTGAAAGCGAAGAACAAAGAGGCCCAGTTTCAGTTGGACAAAACCAACCTTGAAGCTGTTTCTAAGTCCTTGAGTTGAACCATGAAACCGACATTCGAGCTGCCTGCGGTTGTCTACTCATGCCAATGCTTGAGTTGGACTCATACTGTAACACTCAAGCCTGAAGATATTGTCGTCTTTAATTTTTTTTTCGAGTTTTCCCTCGAGATTTTTAAAATGTGTCGGCTAAGTGAGGTTTCTATACGCTTATAAATAATATTTTGTTCTCCTTCTCAACTGACGTGGGATGGGCTTTCCCTCAGAGCTTTTAAAACACGTTTGGTAGAGAGAGGATTCTACACCCTTATAAAGAATGTTTCGTTCTCCTCCCCAACCGATATGAGATCTCACAATCCACCACCTTCAGAGCCCAGCGTCCTCATTGGCACTCATTCCTCTCTCCAATCGACGTGGGGATCTCACACCTACCACATTTTTTCATCAGATAGGCAACTGTAATGGTTACACTGCAAGATAATGGAAGAGAAGTTCAGACCTAACATAGAAAAATGAGGTCGATATGCAAGAATATTAACCGTTGAATAGGAACGCTTGACAAATCCCATGAGTTGGGAAGGAGGAAAACAAAATACATGGAGTTTAAGAAGAACGAGGAAGGTCTTTGCAGTATTCACGCCAAAGATTCACCTTCTAGTGTCCAAGACTAACTCAAGTTAACACACAACAGGAAATAACATTGGATGAAGCAGTAGGAATTCCATTTGATAGAAAAACAATTATAAACACTGATAACTTACGTTATGAATCATGAAAATCACAAGTTCAGTACATGAAGCCTAAACAGAACTGATACTATAAATTGTTACAATGATAAGCACTGATAACTTATGAATCATTACAATCATAAGTTCAGTACATTAAGTTTAAACGGGTATGATACTAGAAATCGTTCTGGGTATTATAAGATAGATAATGAATATCCTACATGAACAATGGCATGTGGAAACAGTTCTGTTTTCTGAAGATGCAGCTGGAAACGAATTAATCCTACTCTTTGGTTGTGAAAAGTGGAGATTGAATCATTCTTTAAAGCGTTATATATAGGCCCATAGGGAAAAATTTTGAGGTCCCTAATAGCAACTTCCAACAAAGATTGGGTAAAACTATGAAGTTACAGGACATGTCCGTAGCAAATGGTTTGTTGCACCAAATAGAACTTGGAACTTTACATACCACCAACTGTTTTATATATTAAATCATCTGGATCATCGGTGGAAAGGAACAAGGAATGGTTAAATGCGACTGATATTCATCTTCTTCAGTTGATCCTTGTGATGGGTGGCTCCAATAGAGCCTAAGAACAGACACTAAAATACCACAAAGGACAACAGCTTCAGAATGCTGTTTAAGCAGAGGTCTGAACCACTGACTAGAATAATAAGGCACAATTAAGCAGCCAAAAGATTGGTTCCGATGACTTTTGAAATGATGAAAAGTACTGTGCTAAAAACATTTTAAAGTGTTATGAGAGAAACTGAAGTAATGTTGCCCAAACTAAGTACCAGTACCTTCAAAAGTCATTACAAACTCATTCTAATTAGGATTACCTCTTCAATTTGTCAAGGAACTCTGTCCTCTTTAAGGCCTCTCTCTAGACAAATGATGTTACAGAGAACAGTTAATCGAACACTCATCATCGCGATCTGCTTCCATAGTAGAAACAAAAACCAAGATCTATATGTTCTTTCTTTTCATCCTCCGTCAAAAAAGGCACGCCGAATTGAGATTTCTATCTTTTCTCAACAAGTTTTAAATCGCATCCCAATTTACATAGTTTAAAACATTGTTTTAGGTTGAGACTTGAAATGAACATAGGATCCAGAAAAACAAATGAGATGATCACAGATCCAAATTATATATATGACATCAGAAGCCTAAAATCTGTACAAGACGACGAAGATTGTTCAAGATTCAATGAAAAATGAGGATCAATAAACTAAATTGAACGGAATGCCTCAAACAAACGCCAAATAGTTAAACCACTACAGAATTAAAACTCACTATTCGAAAACGAAATCTCATGTCAATATCACATCCCCAAATCTTCCCCTCCGCTTATCCACAGAAACAAATTCCACTTAAAAGAAACACAAATGGATTTGCAGGCATTCACAGAAAAAGAAGTTCAGATTCTCCTCATATCAACGAAAAACGTATGATAATTTTTCTACTCATTGGATTTGAACATAACTCGAGAAACTTGAAGTTTCAATTGAAAACAACGAATCATTTAACCAGTGTAGAAACTATCGGTAACTTCGATGAAGAACTCGATTTTTCATTTGGTGAATCGCAATCTAATAGACAAACTACAAGAAATGAGGATCGAAATACTCACCAGGAAATTTTTCGAGTTTCTGGCGGAATTGGATCGATTGAGAAATCCGACCATCCAAGACTGAACCTCCATTGATTCTGCTGCGTTTGGGAACGAATTCTTTTATACGAACCGCGAGCCTGAGCCAACGATTGCGCGGTAAAATTTCATGACATTGAATATAAATGTATTTTTTTATTAAATAATTACATATTATTTGAAATTTAGAAAAATTAATAATTATTTTCTTTGCTTCCCAATTTTATTTCTTTAAGATTTAAAATATTAAATAATTTCAGTCTTAGAATATGATTATCTAATAAAATCATTTTTTTACATCATAATATAAATTTTTTAGTTTTCGAAAAATAAATCTAAAATAAAAAACTTTAAATTTGGTCGGAAAAAAATATCACTTTTAATAAATTTACCGAGCAAATGACAAATATAGAAGCTTTTAGAGATCTTGTCCTTGTCCGGACATCTCTAATACAACTCGTTTGTCGTTTCTCGTTTTCTTTTCTTACTTAGACTAACAGTATCTGAATCGTGATTGTGTTTTGTAGTTTCGATGTATTATTAGACAAGTGATGCAACTTTTACTTCATCCGTGCATGTTTGACTGAGTCTATCCCTAGTAGATATTGTCCAATTTGATCCATTACATATGGTCGTCATCCTAACAATTTAGCTTCTACGCCCTTTTAAAAAATTACTTTGTTCCCCCTCCAACCGATGTGGGACGTGGGATCTCACAATTCGTCCCGTATATGACTATAATACCATTTGTAACCATCCAAACCCACAACTCAATGATGCTTTCTCCGTCTCCATCCTCGTCCCTACAAAATGGTCAATTTATTTTTTTCAAACATCGAGCCGGGGCAGGGACTCCTCCAGATGATTTTGATCTCTGTCTCTGTCTCTCTCTCTCGGTCGCTCATTAAGGTAGATACTTTTAGATCTCCGCCGTTAAATAGACATATCTGAAATCCAACCGTTGAAAATAGACTATAAATAACAAGAATGGGTGTGTTCTTCATTTCGCACGTGGACTTGTTGAAAACCATGGACCAATAAATTTGGGCAAAGAAGATAATGTAAAGGATAGCAATTTTATTTCCACCTCAGCATCCCATCATTTTTTTCTTTTATAAAATGAATTTTATTTTAAAAAATAAAATAAAATTATACGATAAATTTTATAAATATATTCTCTTAAACAAACTGCTCCACCTGGCATTTTTTCTCTCTGCCAAAGTCTCCACTATCTCTCTCTGTAACCAATTTCCAATACGCGGCGAATCTCCGCCGACTGTTCCAAATTTCCATGGCCGTTCCCGAATCTCGCCTTCTTCTTCTTCTTCGTCTTCTTCTCTGTTTCTCAGCCCTCTTCCATGGCGGAGCTTTCTCTCTGGTCATTCCCGTCAACAAAGATTCCGTTACTAATCAGTATTTGGCCACGCTCTATCATGGCTCTCCGATTAAGCCTGTCCATCTCGCCGTTGATCTTGGCGGCCAGTTTCTCTGGATGGCTTGTGGTGGCTCTTCCTCCAGCCGGCCGATTCTCAGTCGGTCTATTCAGTGCATAGCGGCGGTTGGTGGGGGTAGATCTGGATCTTCTGGCAGCGCGTGTGATGTAATTGCTGGGAATCCGTTTGGGGATTTGGAAGGGAAGGCGGTGCTGGTTGAGGATACGGTCGCCGTGAGGTCTTTGGACCGGTCAACGGCGGCGGTGATTGTTGCGCTTCATTCTTGTGCTCCGAGGTTTCTTTTACAAGGTTTGGCGGAGTCGGCTAAAGGAGTTTTGGGGCTTGGCCGGAATCAAATCTCGCTTCCGGCTCAGATCGCGACTGAGCTCGGTTTTCACCGGCGATTTTCCGTTTGTCTTTCGTCGACGAACGGCGTTGTTTTTCCGGATAGTGGAAACCTAGACTCTGTTTATGGATCTGAGATTTCGAGTTCTTTGACTTACACGCCGATTTTGACGAAGAAAATCGACGCCTCGCAGTCGCCGGAGTATTTCATCAACGTTAAAGCCATCAAAGTCGACGGTAACCGCCTCGATCTGAACAAGTCGCTTCTCGATTTGGATGGCGGAAGCGGCGGAGGGACGAGATTAAGCACGGTTGTTCCATACACCACACTAGAGAGTTCCATCTTCAACTCTCTGACGGCGGCTTTCAGAGCAGCAGCGGCGGCGATGAACATGAAAGAAGTGGCACCTGTGGCGCCATTTGAGGCGTGTTTTGAATCGGAAAACATGGAGATGACAGCGACAGGGCCGAAAGTGCCGGAGATTGAACTGATTTTGCAGAGCGAAATGGTGGGATGGAAAATTAATGGAAGAAATTCCATGGTGAAGGTGAACGATGAAACTCTGTGTTTAGGGTTCGTCGACGGTGGATTGAAGCCAAGAAACGCCGTCGTTTTGGGTGGGTATCAAATGGAGGATATCGTCCTGGATTTCGACATGGGGACTTCCATGCTCGGATTTAGCTCCTCTTTGTTGCAGAGGAAGAAATCTTGCTCGGAATTTTCGCCGGAAAATTTACCGATCAGAGCCGGATGATTTGAGCAAGATAAAACTGAAATCAGTGGTAAAATTTTGAGGGCTTTTTTTGTTTAATTTAATTTTTTTTTTTTTTGTGGAAATTAGGATCTTGCTGTGTACTATGAGTTTTTTTTTTGTTTTTTTTTTGTGACTTGTGATAATTAGCTTAATATATATATATAATTGAGATTTTATTTTATTTTTTAATTTATGTTTAGTTATTTTTTAAATAAATTTGAAAATTTTCTAAAATATAAAACCAAGAAAGTAATTAAAATGTAATTAGAACATAATTAAAGTGGGTTTAGAAATTAATTTGATATTTAATTTTACATTCTAAAAAATTTAAATGATTAAATATTTATTTGGGCAATAAATATTCTAACAAGTACTCTCTCTTCAAATTCACCTGGTCTCAATCATACTCTTTTAGAAAATAATATATATATTTACAAATCACTATTTTAAAAAGTCATTTCAAGATCGCTGCATCAATCTAAAATTTTCATTTTACCCTTATGAGAAAATATTAACCATGATTAAGTTAAAGGTTGGAATTGGAGTTTATATATATAATTGGACCAGGAAACACTGCACTATAGGAACCACGGAACCCACCACTAGTCTACCTTCTTTGGTTGGCTCCCGCCCCTAGTAACCAACGGATCCTTTCTCACTTGATCACAAACTCATGAGCCCGCCTTTTGCGGCTCTCATACAGCATATGAGCTTGCCACAAAGGAGATTTAAGGAGTCTCTAAAGCGGAGTAAAGCCTATGGTTTCTTAGTGAAACTCTTCCTCAAGGAAGAACCAATAAGAGATCCAAAAAGAAAGGATTAGCTTTGTTTGGAACGAGAGGGGTAAACCAATGTGATCATAATATTGTAGGTGCTTGCAATGCGACTTTTAGCCCTCTTAATAGGGCGTTTATGAGCATGTGGCCTATACTCGATATTCTCAGAAAGCTTCATTTATAGACCAAGACCAATCCCCACTATTTAGATATTTTGAAAAATAAATTAATTTTGAAATATTTGTATGATAAATGTATTTTTAAATAAAAAACAAAATTGGGGAATTTTTTTTAATTTAGTGGGAAAATAATATTAACCATGGTTAAGTGAAGGGTGTGACGTGGGGTTTGGTGGGCTTGGATATTCTCTAGAAAAAAACAAGCACCAACGTAAGAATGAGAGAGCATCTTTGTTAGAATATTTTGGGATGCCCTTTGTGGGAACAAAAATAAAAAGTTGAAAATGACAACCCAATATCCTTCCTCCAACCATGGCAATCGCAATTTTCAAGGGCAAAATCGGGAATTCACGAAAATGAAAGGATAAGAATGGGCGCGGAATCGTACTGATATATCATTATTAAATAAGTGGCTCACCGCTTATCGATATGCAGTGCTAGCCCTACTGCTCGCGTCATAATTTATTAAGATACATTTATTTTACAAAATTATAAATTATTTGTACTAAATTAACAATTAAAAAAAAATCTAATTTTATATTTTATTTTAAAAAATATTTTCAAACTGTTAAATATTTATTTAATAAATACTCCTTCAATATTCTCAAACTTTTTATTAAAAAAAAAAAAAAAATTCATTGGTCCACTAATTACTATAACGTGGACGGTCGAGTAATCCTACCTTCAACCAAATTCTTAAAGACTTACAATGATAAAAGAATGAAAGTTACGCGAAATCGTTCTCTTTTTTCATTATTTAATTTTGAGGGTTTAATTTTTGTAATTAAATTTTCGTTCAAAGCATAGTGATTGTTATAATTTCAATATTAAATTTTTCATTACAAATTTTTAATATGAAATTCATGAATTTCAATATTAAAATATTTCTCTTTTATTTTTTCCCTATATTTAGTGTGGGCCGTGAAGTCCAAGTACATCGATAATGGGCTTTAATCTAAAGCCCATTCTTATATTCAATTCCATCCGTAAAATTGAGATATCGACATTTTTATCGATATCCACATTTTAAACCATGGTATGATACAATGAAATATATTTCTATTTTTTTCATAATTAAATAATTAAAATCATCTATCTTATCATATTTAAAATTACTTTCAAATATTTTTTAAATTATTAAAATCAATTTTAATTATATAAAACTCGTGTTGAAAAATATAAAACCCGCACTGAGTTCAAACATATTTTAAATTTTTTAAAATTAATTTTTTTTATGTATAAATCTTATTTAAAAATATTAAATTAATTTGTTGTTTTAATTTTAATTTTTTATTTTTTATGGGATACAAATTAAATGGCTATTTAACCTCAAAAAGATATCAAATCACTCTCAATGTAACTTGCGAACCACTCTTTAATTTATTATCTCAAATGACGTTTTTTTTTTATTATTATATATTCTTTAATATTATTATTTTGTTTACTTGTGAGAAAATTCTCGGAAAAGAAAGGTTTAATTGCATAAATGGGACTTTTAATATACTTTAATTTCACTAATACCCACTTTTATCTTTATTTTAAACTCAAAGCAACCCACTAGATAAGGTTAGCTTGGAGACACATTTACCATCATGCCCATTAATAGAAATTCTATAATTAGCATAAGAAATTGAAATACAATAACATCTATGAAATTTAATGCAAGGGTAAAATCGTAATAAGTGCACAATTTTAAAACTTATAGTAATTTAAAACTGATGAGTAAAAATGTAATATTTTGAAACATATAGCCCCAATTGAAACTAAACTCGAAAGTTTAGATAAAAATGCAATATTTTTAAACTTAGGGACTAAATTGAAATTATTCTCGAAACTTAGGGACAAAAAATGAGATACCCAAATAAATAAGGAGTACATAAATGAATCGAAATCATTTCGAAATAACATTTGTTTTAAGTGGTTTAATCATAAATTTTTTATAATTAAGCGTATTTAACTTGAATTAATCATATATTATAAAAAAAACACGTAAATAAAGACCAAACATGTAAAATAGCTCCCGTAACTGTGGAGGATATTTTTGGAATTTGAAAAGTAACCCTCCAGCTTTACAAAATTACGTACCCCACCAGCCCCAATAGGCGAGATTCTTCGAGATTCCTCTTTTATCTTTTTAGAAAAAAAAAAAAAAAAGATTTCTTAAAAAAAAAAAAAAAAAAAAAAAAA